AGAATCAAATTTTGGTTGACCTTCAATTGGACGGAATGCCTGAAGTTTCTTTATAATTTCATCAACGGAATCTTCAACTGCACCCACGCCTTCATAAAATTCAATTTGTCCCCGTAGAACTTTCTCGAGTAAACCAAGAACTTTGTCCCACAGAGAATCCATTGCGTGTGCTGTAGATTTTTTTTTTGTGTTTTTTGGGTGAGTTCAAGAATGAAAGCATCAATTGATACGGAATCGTATCGGGATAGAGAAGGATTTCGAGCACCTTCAAGCTCCAAGAACAAAAGAGGCGAGAAAGAGAGAGATTAAGGTTTAGGAGAAAGTATTTTCTTTATTCATTGATAAATAATTTATTGAAATGGATACATTTATAGCTAGGACATCTAAAGAATCCTTACCATAGAAGGAAACTAAATAATATAGGAATCCTAATTATAAATGGTAACAAATATCCTAACAATAGAATATTACTTTCTAATAATAATATAATTAACTAACCATAAATAATAATACTACCTAATATAATAATAATAACCACTAACCATTAATAATAGTAATAATAATAATAATAATAATAATAATAATAATAATAATTAATCCCGTATCACAATTCTTAAAATTTTTGATGGATTCATGGTTATATATACTGTTTTACAAGACCCATTATATACCATCATTTTATGTATAAGGTCTATAAAATGAGTCCATAAAAGAATTTTCCAAATGGAATGGAAGTAAACATTTATAACACTTCTACAAGAAGCGTCTTACAATGTGGAACATTTATAACCCTTCAACTAGAAGCATCATATAATATGGACTATAACCGATGCCGGAGCTCAGGCCAAGAAACTGATAGGAGTACTGGGTGGTATCCACCTTCACTGCCGCATCTTTCGTGGAATAGACATAGCCAGGAGAATCCTTGATCGCTTGAAGCTCTCAAGGGGAGAGAACTGTTGTAAAACCAAATATAGCTTTGCCATAAGTATAAACAAGCTAAGTTTACCCAGAAATGGCACTGTCTTGTCTTCTGATACTGCACATGAAGATGAAGGCCAAATAATATAAGGCTATCATCTTATGGGTAGCCATTTCTTGTACTAAAATAAGATGGGGATTGGGATTGCAATGCTTTCATGTGGAATATATAAAGGAATATAAGAATAAGGTACTGGTTCATGAGGAGCTAAAAATGTGGGAGACCCTTTCACATATGCAACCAATTAAAAATTGAAAAGACTCTGGAAATTGGTAATTTCATACATTGATGTAAATATTCACCAGATGTGGATCATAGATGATATTACAATTGGGCTTCTAACTATGTGATCACCACTCTCATCAACCCAAGCAATTGATCCGAATGCAGTTTCGCTGCTTCTGTTACCCCTATAGCTTACAACCAGCGAGTACCTCTGTGTCTCGTACTTCGTTTGGAACGATAAACTTTTAGGATTGACCGAAATCTCTGAATCCGCAGGTAACACAACATGGTCAATCCCATACGTTGCGGGGCCATCTCCGACGTAAGTAACGGTCCTCTTGAATGTCTGGTTCGCTGCCACAGTCGATTCATTGCCCGTGTACAGCAGAATGAAGGACGGGTAGTTGAGATCGACAAGAGATGATGTGTTTCCACATTCGTAGTTGTTTGCTCTGGTGATGCTCATAATCTGTGTTTGGGTGAAATTCATGGAACACAAAAGATTGATGTAGTCCTGAGGAGTGGCATCATATATAAGGCCAGGATCAAGTGCGGCGTTTGGGTTAACCAGTCCCCCTCCCATTGCCAGAGGTGTGGCAGCCGTGTAGTTCAGACCGGAGTCTTTAATCGCGCCATTTGTGTTATCATATGGGACGGCTGTGGTGACCATGGCTGACCGTATTGCAGCTGGACTCCATTCTGGATGTGCCCCTTTGAGGAGTGCAGCAATGGCAGAAGAATGGGGGCAAGCCATCGACGTACCGGACACCATATTGAAAGAACTTGACGGTTCGGTTCCAGGAATCCAGGAAGCTAAGATCAAAGAACCTGGAGCCAAGATGTCCGGCTTCAAGACCCACGGGGAACTCGGGGCGGGGCCTCCTGATGTGTAGGATGCGACAACCGGCGCAGGATTCCTCCCTAATAAAGTTTGCTGAAATGTGATGCTAACGGATGGGTTGGGACTACCATTCCGGGCATAGTTGATAACCCTGTAGGAATCTTCCTGGCTTATCACAACTCCAGGGAATGAGCACAGGTTTGCCCTCTCAAATAAAGCCGGATCATCTGAGACGAAGATGCCACCTGAAAACCCACTCCGGGAAGCGTTGTTCATTTGATCATACAATTGGTCAGTGTGGTCGCAAACAATGTTTCCATTGGTTAAAGAATGGGAGAGAAGCTGCTGGGAGGAATTGCAGGCAGATATTGCATCATTGTATATGAGAGGCAGTCTTTCAAGAATTGTGTTCTTTTCTCCTCCAAGGCACATCGCCCATCCCGTGATTTCCTCTCCGTTTCCCAGAGACAAATTCCCTGCTAGCCAACGGTCTGTGGAGCCCGCTGCGGATGTTAGGACCCACGGGATTCCGTTGTGTAGTTTTCCGGGGACAATGCCGGAATTTCCAGCGGATGTAGACACAAGAATGCCCTTCTCCATAGCACCGAAAGAAGCAATCGCGATCGGGTCTTCAAACAAATGAACCGAATCAAATCCAATCGAAATTGAAATCACATCAACCCCATCGGCAACGGCCCGGTCTATACCTGCAAGGACATCAGAGGAGCACATCCCTTCAACCCAACCCACCTTATACATAGCAACCCGAGCTTTTGGCGCTATCCCTGTTGCAGCCCCTTGCGCATATCCAAAGAAAGAAACATCCTCGACATAGTTTCCAGCAACCGTTGACGAGGCATGCGTGCCATGGCCCATAAAATCTCTTCCAGAATTCATGGCAATGGTAATGTTTGGATTTGCAGCTGAAACTCCCTTGTTGAAGTACCTAACCCCGACGAGTTTTTTGTTACACATGGAGGCATCAAACTGTTCTCCTTCCTCACATATCCCTCCCCACCTGTGGGGAACCTCGGTCATCCCGTCATCCTTGAAGCTTTTGCTCTCCGGCCAGACACCAGTGTCGACAACACCCACGATGACGCCATCTCCATAGCTAGAAGCGGGCCATATTCCAGTGTCCTGATTGAGAGATAGAAACTCGAAGGTGTGGGTGGTGTCCAGAGTGGCAGTTTTGTCTCGGTAAGCCGAGACAAACCCGGGAGTGTTCTCTAGAGCTTCCAGCTCATCCTCGGACAACACTACACTGAAGCCATGGAAGGAGTGCTCGTAAGTGTACAAGAGTCTGGTTGGGTTATTGACAGCTGGTTCAGTTGATGATGATGATGTTGAAGAGGTTTCCAGTTTGACGGAGTGGACAATGGAGGAGTACCATTGTCCCTGTGTGGGAAAAGACTCCGGCATGAACGACCTGTCAAAGTGAACGATGTATGTTGATTTGTTTGCAGAGATTGACTGTGCTTGAATGAACAGAAACACAGCAAATGAGAAGATGATGAGTGAATCCATTTCTCTTGATCTGACAATAATAAAGTTTCCATTCCTCTTATACGGAAACACAGTAAGATAGGACTGTGCAGCATTACAAAAAGAAAAATGTACAACTCCGTTTACAGTACGCACATGACCTCTTTTTTTTGCATAAAAAGGAACAAGACTGCAGCATTACATTACAAAAAGTCAAAGACAACATATAATGCGTTTCAAAGTTACCATTGGACAAACTAACTAGTACATAAAGTTGGGCCAAATAGCCAAAAAATAGTTGCTGTAAAATAAAGATAAGGGCAGGACCAGAAGGTGTTCAGGAAGCCTTGATGCTTGAGAGCATCCACATTAGAAGGAGAAGTAAAGGAAGGACTACTCCCATTTCTCTCCTCTACGTCATCTTTTTGGGTCCTAACACATAACTTCTCCTTTACTTTTCATTTCTTACATCAAAAGGACTACTAAAATTTAATTATTTCTTATTTACAAAATTAAACTCAACCCATTTATATAATTAAAAATTGAAAGAGTTGCCACATGGCTTGGAGTGAATGGCCAGTCTTTTTCTCTTTCTCTTCTTCTCCGCGGAGGACTCCCCCTCCCTGCTTGTCTTGGAAACTGTCAAGGAGATGTAGTTCTCCTTCCACTTCTCCATCCAATGAGCCAGCCTCTCCAAGAGAGGTACTTCTCCTCCACCATTCTCCTCCATCCAATGTGGATGGCCTGAAGACCGTACCATCGATGAATGAAGCTGTTCGGATAGGATGCTTACAAACAAGACATGCCGAAATTCCAAGTGGCGAAACCTAGCGCCACTTATCAACTCGACCGTGCTTGGCCCTGACCATGCGGTACCCCGTTTGACTCCAAAGTTATTCCAACTCTTAGTCCCCACTAACTTCCTCCAGGGGCCCGTCCCCTGTAGCATGTCAGTGATACAAGAGGGCAGACGGGTGGTTAGAAAGGATATGAGGAGTCAAACTGGGTAACCAATACTCCTGCTATTGAGGTCATATTCTCTTCACCTGATTTGAATAGTTCTTATCTGATTGGAATAAGTTTCAATCTGATCTGATACACATAATTATATTTGAAGATGTTTCTGAACTGATTTGAATAAGAAAAAGTAATAAGTAATAAGTAATAAGAAGTTGAAGACAACATGACCTTAACATTATTTGCGAGATGCATGATTATAACATGGAATATGGCTAAAAAAAGTTGCAACATGCATTATACTCCATTTGTTTCCAATTAATCATCTCACTCCAAAATTTACAAGCCAAACTTATTGTTTTACTTATTTTTATTAATCATTTATTAAAATAATATAGTCATGTCAACTCTTATATTATATACTGAGAAAATTCTTCTTTCTATACTTATTTTCGTTGATTATTTGTTAAAGTAATATAGTCAATGTCCCCTGTTATTATATAGAGAACTTGATATACTGAGTAATTTTTTAACATATTAGTGTTCTTTTCAAAATTTGTAATCTTACCTCAATAAATTGGATTGAAAATAAACTCAGTTAAATCTCAGTATTTGCAAAAAAAAATTAATTTGGGACGGAAGAAGGATGACACTAACGTGTTAATTCGTAATATAGAGTATTTTATGCCTGATAAAATGTTTTAGACCCTAGGAGAATTATTCTCCATTTCAAATTAAAGTTTTACAATGTTAAAGACAAATTAAAATTAATGGTTGATATTTATGTAACAAAAATAAATAATAGCTCGTATGAACTATTTAATATTTATTGTAAAAGAAATATTTATATGTACTAGCAAATCACGCACTATGTGCGTGGGTGCCCAGACCTAATGAGAATTGGGACTAATTTAGAGTGGATATGAGCTCTAACGAATTATACTTAACAATATTAAATAGGAGCTTTAACCAAAACTCAATAAAGAAAGTATGAATCATATATGATCTAGATTTTTTTATTTAAAGTATTTCTATTAAAAGCAGATTAACTGAAAGCAAGAAAAAAGTTCACCTAGAAAAACTCCTCATCAAGAAAAAAGGTTGTGCACATAGAAACCTATGTTGTAGTTTTATGTAAGCCCTAAAATTATACTAACTACGTTTTTAAATGGTTGCTCATTCTCCCATATTTTTTCTAATAATGAGTGTGGTATAAGGTCTAAGTTAACGTGATATGCATACAATATTCTATTCTCATTGTGATTTGTGGAACAGCTTGTTTGAGGGTGTCTTGAGCACCCACATTGAATAGTTGATGAGTCTTGTATATAAGTTTGGGGTGATTGCCTCTTGTGGGATTGGGGTGACTAAAACCTAATGCAACCTCACACTAATCCAAGCACTTAATAGCAATAAAACTCAGGCCGCCATCAAATAGTCTTTTTGAACATGATTTACTGATTTATTTGCTCAAGGAAATAAGTATAATTACCAGAAGCAACAAGCTGAGGGAATAAATATAATGACCAAAATTAATATGCAAACTCAATACTCCCTCCGTACCAATTTAATAGTCTTTTGTTTTGCTTCCAATTGATTGAGACTTAGGGGCTGTTTGTTTCAGCCTCTTAATGGTTCAGATGTCTGAATGATTCAGCACTTAATGGTTCAGACTGTTTGTTTCAGTCTCTTAATGGTTCAGATGTCTGAATGGTTAAGAGATTTGCATCTGAATGGTTAAGTATTATACATAGTCTGAATGGTTAAGAGTTGTTATCTGAATTGATCAGACATTTGCCTCTGAATAGTTAAGCAATGTACTAGCTCTTAATGGTTCAGACCTCTTACTGGTTCAGCACTTAATGATTCAGACCTCTTACTGGTTCAGCACTTACCCATTCAGAAGTTGCCAAACAGCCCCTTAACCTATTTCACTCTTAAAGCAGAGAAAGGATGCCATCTCTTATAAAAAAACATAATAGATACTTCAGTTTATGTGTTTTTATTGAACTCTTGAATCATACATTCATATGTTATTATCTCCTTTGATTTAGTAAATTTCACATATTGTGTTTTACTTCTTTGTTAGCTTCAGGACCTGAAAGTGCTGAAGGAACAAAATCCCAATAAAAGAAGAGGTAACTAAAAATTGAATAGTACACTTTTCTTTACTATGTCTACCCGATTTAGATTGCATTGATTTTCTATGCTCAGTTCAATTTCTCTGCTTTTCAATACCACTCCATCCAAAAATAAATAAAAAAATTACTTTGCTTTTCAATATTTGGAAAGTTTAAATAGTACTTATTCTTTTTCAAATTTTGTGTATGTATGGTTGCTCTAAAGGGAATAACATTCACCATTTTCAATGACACAACATTTCCAAGAACAAAATTGGAAACAGTGGCAAATGGGCATATTAAAAGATAAGCTAAAAAGAGATGGGAAAAAAAACAAGCTCGGAGGGCATATTGAATCGTAAAAGGGAAATGTTGATTACTACACATTTCAAGGTGATTTTGAAAAATCTAACAGAATCCACCTTCTCAAAAAGACTCCACTGTAGAACAAAAATAATACTCCCTCAATTCCAAATAAATAGTCCTCACTTCCTTTTTGGGAAGTCCTAAAAAAATAGTCCTCTTTCCTTTTCTTTTCCTCTTCTGGAAAGGTTATTGTGGCTCATATTTTTTCACCTCTACATCACTTTCTACTACAAAATTTCACTTTTCTTACACCTTTTTCCGAAATAAAGAATACCAGAGACGCTGAGAAACCATTGATTTAAACTAAAAATAATGAAAATAGATATAAGAATACTCCACATGTGAATCCCTTTCATAAAGGGAAGACTGTGACTTCCAAAATTTCTTTAAAGAGGTCAAGTAAATGAAATGTCTTCAGGAGGGGGGAGGGGTAATTAGTCTACCAAATTTATTCGTTTGGTGTCAGATCCGGTGGAAAAAGAAACAATTAGCGAATGTAGAGAAAGTTAGGAAAAGGTAAATATGAATTTCAAAATAACAAAGAAGAAAATAAAACACCTTCAACGGGAAGATAAGGTCTGTAGAATTTAGGATGTTCAGTTCTTTACCACTTGGGGATAATTTTGAAATCTTTTGCACAAACAAAGAACAAATTATCGTTTGACGAAAGTAGAGGGGATATATTTATCGAATCTGATTATTCTACTTTAGTCTTTAATAAATTCTATTTTTAGCAGTCTGATAAAAAAGATGAAGAAACCAAACAGAGATCAAAAGGATAAAAACACCAAAACCAAAAACATATCCTAATCTGCTTTAGTTGTGTTGGGATATTTTCCACATGCCCCCATGCTTCAGGTTGATCAAATTTCAGGTTCCCATGTTACATAGAAGTATAGAACACAATAGTTCCTCTAATCATTCCAAAGTACAACATCAAACACTTTGAGTAATCCATACACCAATCTGCCCATGGCTCACACAACATTCCAAACAAAAAAAATTAGAAATAAAACTCATTCCACTACCTTCAAACAGTTTTATTTTTTTATAATATTTTGAGAGAAATCTTTGCAGAAATAGTGAAAACAACTTAACCACTTGTGTGAATAAAATAAGAAAAGAATACGAGTAAAGTAAATAAGAAAAAATGCAAAAGCAATAGAATTATTCAAAATGCACAGCTAAGATCCTAATCTGAGCCTCAATTGAACATAGAATTGTGAGTGAAGACAATAAATATAAGATCCTAATCTGTACCTCAATTCAACGTGGAATCTACTATATATATAAAAGCCCATGAGAAATTCCATGCAATTGCAATTCCCAATTTTCCCACCAGAATCCGTCATCCAAAGGCCATGATTCACTTGGTACACGTGGCAATTACATATAAAATCTTAGAATACTACAATTTACAATCACTTGTGGACAAAAAAAAGAAACTGAGAATGTAAAATTCAGTACATGACATCTTTTATTCTGTATAAAATCAAGCCAAGTAGTCCACAAATGTACTGATAAATGAACTGCCACTGCCCCAATTTCATTTCAGGAATGAACTGCCACTACCCCACTTTGAAACTTCAGATTTACGTGCATGGGTGATCCACAATCACCTAATATTTCCTTTGCAAAATTTAATTTCAGGATCCTGCCCATTTCAAAATGCTATAGAGGCTAAGATCTGCCAGATTTATATACTCATTACAATGAAGAAAAAAAAGTTAACGCCATGGATTACACACATCAAAAGCATATACAATAACTTCTAAACAAAAATAAATATACCCACAGCAGGGATTTCAGTAAATGGCATCTCATATACTATATAAAACCAAGTCAAGTACTTCATAAATGTAATAAGAAATGAACTGTCACTGCCACAACCATATCTCATTACCGAACCTCAAAATAGTCATTGCTTCAATATCAAATGATGAAATAAAGAGGCTCACATTATTTACGACAACCCATGGCTGCTTTGGCTAGGCCGTAGCCACGCCAGGATACATATTTTTCCCTTACTTTCATTAAACAATATGAGAAAACATATGACACCAATCATCATAGCCTCTTATTTATTAAAATTACTCCACCTTCATACACAAAGTATGTCATTGCCTTAAAAAGAGAATGAAATCGAGCAACTGTAACTGCCTTAATCTGGGAAGAAATAGAGCAGTGTGTATCTCCTGGAAAATAACTTTTTTCAAAATCTGTGTAAAGAGGCTCAGATATGCAGTGATTATAAAATCATTTTGAGAACAAGGTTATGATAACGCCAAGTTACCTCCTGCCAGCGAGGTAGCCACGCCAAGTTACGTATCAATTTTTTTAAATTGAAGTAATCAGAGTTCGACAAATCAAATAAAAACCATCATCACAGCCTCTAAAACCTACAAATTAATCCAGGTTCATACACGAAGTTATTAAGCATGGCTGCAAAAATAGGATGACTTCACTTAATTACAAGACAAAGCTTTAAACATGGTCCCTATAACACGTGACAATTACCCATCACAAATTGCATAGACCAAAACGGTCAGTTTCACACTACTAACTTCTTAAGACAATTTAAAACCAACTTGGAATGGATTTGAGGATTGCAGTAATATGAAGTTAAATTGTGGAATACATTCAAAAAAAGCTATTAGGTGTTCAAAAACAGTTCATTTAGTGATCCCCTACTGACCTAAGAAAAAAATTCATGAAAAATAATCTGCAATTTTAAAATGTTTTTAAAAAACCCCTTAACATTAACTTCCAAGAATTTCTAAATTATTAACAGAGGTGGACACCTTTCTGTCTATGCATTTCAATATATATAAACTATCACTGGTGTTCCATTTATAAAGTAAGTATCTTTCTTTCTTATATTCCTTGCAAAAATTGATACAATCAAATGAAGAGCTCATTCTCCAGTTGCAAACACAGAGGGAAAAGATGGAGACTTCATACAAACACAGGTGAACACACTTCATTTCACAGTCCTATTATTTTTAACCTGCTAATTTGGTAAACACAGTTCATTTGGTATTATATTGAAAAGATTACTGCGAAGAAGTGAAATATGCATTTAGTATGTCCTGAACTCATGAAAACTATATTTAACATATTTGAGAAAAATATGTCTTTCTTCCTGCACTTCTCATTCCAAACATGTATATTAAGTAATTTAAGTACTTGATAAAATTAATAGTGCAAACTTACTTACTTGCCCTAACCTCATTGCATTATAGATTTCTGGAAGACATGAAAAAAGTAACTGTTACTTGATATATTAAGTAAAACAATTATTTTCCAATTAATGAAATACAGTAATTTATAATTATACTTACTTGCATCTCAAGCAGTTTCTTAACAAAAGAACAAACCTGAAATATCAAGAATAACAATTCAGATTTTTAGTTACGCTATGATTTTTTTAAGACACATTATAGTTAAAATAAATGTATGATATGTATATGAAATAACTTACAT